TTTAAGTATAAATGTTGTTATCTACGCAGCAAGGGGTGTGAAAAGCATGAGCGGTATATCATCTTTATAAGTAGAATAACATCAGTAAAAAGTTTTTCACTCCCACGGGCGGTCAGGAGGTGTGTCTATGATAGTGATGACATCTGATGACGAAACTTCAAGTCACAGAATTTATATTTCATAGGTAGCGGTGAAAAAATTTTTTATCGATAGGCCACGCGTATGATTTTAATTAAACTGATCTGTGATAGCTGAATGTCGTAATTCTCAGGGGGCAGTCAGGAGGAATGACCAGTGGTTCATCGATAAGCCACGCGTACTATTATGATTTCTGTGATAGCTAGGTCATGGGCGGTCGGGGGCGACTAGTGGTATTATTTACTACCGATAAGCCATGTATATGATGGAATTTGTAGAAATTTCTCGAATGTTTTACCCGATAAGCGCATGTCTCTACACGTATCAGGTTTCTAATTTCTTAATTCTGACTAATTGCTTGACAACTTTCGATTTACAAATAGTGTTTTCCTTATTCGAATCCAAAATCGACGTAATTTACTAAGACGTATGCGAGCTGTGTGTTACTTTTTTAGAAATTTACCAAGAGAAACGGAAAATCATAACTACTAAACGAGCATTAACACCAACACATGATAAACCAAGAAAAAAACGAAAATTAGAAAAAACGTAAGTAATTTAACCCAAAGCTTCGCACAAGGCATCCACCGATCGAGTAATCTATCAACGTAAGATCGTTCTTTATTGTTATAATAAAAGACTACAAGTGCATTAGTTTCGCATTTGCTCTTTTCGGCAAATTTTTCGTAAACGTAAATTTTATTATTTTGATTATGGAATGCACGCTCTTGAAAAATAAATAATTTACACGTAAAAGCACCAGAGTAATTGCATGGGAGGAAAATACTCGAACCCAAAGCCATTTATGAGTATAACCTATTCTTTGGTCACTCCAGTGCAAAGTTTAATTTTCATTATCTTCTTTTATATCACTACTATTAATATTATCGTCAATATCATCTATTTCTTTATTTTTTATTAATCCATTCTTCGATAGCTTCTAGCGTTCTCTTCCTCGGATTCGTTTTTCGTTTGTAAAAGTTTTTCAACGTGGAGGCTACAGCGCCTTTTCCTTCGCGTAACTCGCGGGTTTCAGTTGTCATTTGATCAAATGAAAATTTCGGATCCAGCTCGGCCTTTTTGTCAAACAAGTTTTTAAAGTTTCTCCACAGTTTTCGACGTCTGGCAAGTAACTTCGCTCGCCGAATTGTTTACTTGATTTATTATTGCGCCTTTTCGTAGGCTCGATTAAATTGATTATTCGATCAATTTTTTTGATTTATGACGTAAAGTTTATTTTTGTGGAGTGTATAATAAAGCATAAAGCCAAGGAGAACTCCGATCAGTAATCCACAATAAAATTCGCTGGTGAAAGTGGGCATTTTCAATTGTTTAATTCAAAGTGATCAGATAGCTTTTACGATTGATTTTACGATCAATTTAGATTGATGATTTCTAGGTATGAATGAAGAGAAATTCTGCCGTTTTTATAGTAAACTCATGCGCGTAGAGCCAGATCGCGACTCTTCTTTACATCCATTCACTAAATCATAAAACATCTAGACATGGACACTATGAACGTAGACCTACTGGGCCCATGGGACTTTGGTGCTAAATATGCCGTTAAATACAAAGAAGATCATCATCGAGAGGCAACTTGGAAGGAGGTTGAAGACGCATATGAAGGATATAAGAAGTTTTTTTACCAATACCATCAGGACAACCCCGGAACAACTACAAACTGTTATGAGGAATTTCTCATAGCACAAGGCAAGCAAGGTAAGCAAACACGTTTATTGGGAGGATATGGAGCAACAGGGAGAAGAGTTTGAATATTAGTTGGGACAGAGCTGCGTCGTAGCAAAGGTTGGGTTATACAGAAACTCGTTTCAAAGGAGATAAGAAAGTATGGGTTAATAGAGGGACAATGGAGATAGAATAGTTCGAACGCGTCGGGAGGAGCAATAGGGGTTTGCAGAGTAGCCATGCAGAAGGTAGTCAAAGGGCCCGTTATTAGACCATTCTATTCATTATATCTCTTCCTTCATCGGGCGTAGAGTAGTGTGTCGAGTAGAGTAAACATAGTAATATGGTTTCTTATTATGAATTTTCTGGAGTGGCTATAGCTAGACTTAACTAAATTTTCTATGTCATAACTGTGCTGTTATCAAATTATGCCCAATTTCTCTTGTTTAGCCAAGAGAAAACGACCTTCTCTGGACAAAGCGAGTCGCATAGTTCATTATCCTGAGGAATCAGATGAAGGCCGAGACAGTCTGATGGTTATTTCTCCGCACCGGTTGAAGATGATTGATGACTTTATGACAGAAAACCGATTTAGCCTCCTACGCAGCCCCCCCTACACAGGCAAGACTACACTTGGTGTGGCGTTGCGAGACTATTTCCTTGCTCTAAATCATGAAGCAATATACGTTTCCTTGGCTGGCATAAATGGAGAGGAAGCTTGCTTCAAAAAAATTTTGTTTCAGGATTATTGGAAGGAGAAGGTGGGGTTCACCTGGGATGAGATTATTCAATGGACAGAACCTACCGAAATCATCATCGACGAGGCACAAATTATCTATCGCGATTGTGCACCATTCTTTTGGGGTAGTTTGAAAGAAATTATGACAAACTCCTGGAAAAATCCCACCCTCCGAGTGTTGCTGCTGGCTACATATGATCCAACACTCAATTCTCAATTGACTCCAGTAAGTTTTGGAAAGAGCACTTTCGGACTGGACACTCTCCGTATGACATCAAACGAGTTTGAACAGCTGTTAGCCACATTTGTCGAACGACGGCGCACTTTAGGTAGCAGTGCCTTTGAAATTCCAACACCGGTTGAAAAAGCAATATTTAACCTTACTAACGGGCATGCAGGCCTATGTCGATTTACACTGACATCCATACGCCATACGTTTCGTGATGGTAGCTCTGCGGTGGATATGCTGCGATATCTAGCCTCACCATACTTCCGAACAGCACTGCAATGCACACGTGCCTTTGTTTGGACTCAAATTGTGTGCATCATACTGTTGAGGTTGTGAAAAAAATCGAGTACAGCGGGATTAAACAAAGCTCAGTGCTATGAAAACGGCAAAGGCTTTCAATACTTAGATCTTAATTCCGTTCTTGGGAATTTTCTTTAAGAAATTGGGTGGTTTACAAAATATCAGCATTTTGTATTCGAAACAGCTCGACCTGGTATTGTCAAGCTTGGTATTAGCTGGTTGCTAATGGTTCGTATACCGAATTTAATTTATTGAAAACCAGAAAAGCAAGTGTTTCTGAAACTACCAAGGAATTAAACCTTTTTCTATTTTAGTTCTAACTACGCCTCCTTTGGATTACAAAGACAAGAATGTCTTTATCATAATATTCACCCATCTGTTTGATTCAAGGATATTACTTGTCCCAAACCAATCTATACTGATAATGAATAAAAATAGATTTTATTACTGGTTTTGTTTGTTTCTTTATATTTACGTGTAATGCTTTTAATATTAAAATATATAATGTAGAAATTGAAATCATGACAAACCAAAACAATATTTTAACCAAAGAAGAAATCAAAGAACTAATTGGTAATTTAAACTGAAATCCAAGTAATAGTAAAGCAAATATAAGAGCAGTTAAAATTATTTTGACTTTGCCCCCAGTTTAGGAGATGAAGGGTTTAAGAAAGTTTTGTTCGCCTTATTTATTGGTCGGGAGGTATATTCAGTGCTCTAAAAGCCTAATACTAATGTTTGTTTTGAACCCTTATACAATGTCACGTTAATAATGTCAAATATGAATTACTAATACTAAAAAAACCCACTAATACTAATACTAAAAATCAGAAAGAGATGAATGAGTCTAAAAATTCTTGACTTTATTCTGATTATAACTTCAGTTAAAGGGAGAGTAAAATTAAAATTACTTAGGAGTTCTATTAAGGTTTAGGATTGGACTATTCTCAGTAGTTACTTGTCTACATTTTCCATGCATGTTTGTGACATGTAATTCCTGGATGAGCTTTTCCGTTTCAGTTAATTTCCTCTGCACAAAATTAGATAAATTGAACATTTGATGATTATAATTATAGTAATAGGACAAGCAGATATACATACCTCCAATTCTTTCAAGAGACAAAAGGCACCTTCAAATAAGGCACAATTTTCTTTATTTGATGGAAGTTGACAACTATCTATCAATCCAAAGCGATACATACCATTTCCGGCCCAGTCCATTGCATATAGAAATAAGTCAAATCCTATATTAAAATTAATATATATATTGAATAAGATAAATCAGTCATATTAATATTAATATAGACAAATGATCTACATAAAAATGTCTGCCCACCTGCAAGCGTCCAACCATATACAATAAGCTTTTTTCTCTGCCCATCGTTTAAATGTTTCCATTTTTTTAAAGTACTATTTAATGAGTCTCGCATTAATACAGCAAGTTTGACTTTGTCTAAATATTTCTTTTTTTGTGATGCAAGTGATATTCCGAGTGGACATAACCCATTTGCAACCTCTCCGTACAAGGCTTCAAATTTATTGGGTGTCTTTATCAGGATGCCTTTCATATCAACTTTGCGTCCCATACGAGCTTTGACAAAAGGATTTGCTTTATCATTCCTCATGTCTTTTGAGCCAAGCGTTTGAATCTCTCCCCTATGTGTATATGTATTAGTATATAGGAAATGTCTTATTACTATATTATATATATATTGCTGTAAAGCAACCTGCAATAACGTACCATGTATCTTTTACTAATGAAGGATCCATGACTGCATGGAATAAAGGATATATGGTAGTAAATTTAAGTTCTTCCTCTGTCTTACCCCCGATCTTTTTCATGTTAAAAATTCTAATAAAAAAATTTTCTTTAGATATCAAAATACATTCATAGTTAACAATGAGCTAACCTTACATAAATTGAATATTCGCGTGTAGTTTTTCTTTGTCTTCATTATCCTCAAGATTAACAGGATCGCAATTGGAATCAAAATATTTTTGAAGGTTTTTTGGGGTTGGTTTCGGAGACCAGTGAACATGATTTGCAAAATCTTGCGAGATGTCATTAATTTCGCTTTGGGAAAACTCCTTACACTCATAAAGGCTCTCTTGTGTCAAGTCAAAAACTCCCCAATACCCTAATCTGTTAGATGCCAAGAAAAGTTTAAGAACGAATAATTTTATTGTGTTAAAATTGTAATAACAAAAAGCTTACGTTATAATCCGATGTGTCTTTGGAATTTTATTCTGATATTTCTTGAATTTATCAGAGATACAATGAAATTCTTGCCTTGAAGTCTATCAAGCATCGTGCATCAGCATGCTGAAATTAATTACAAATCTTAACTGTAACAAGAAAACTTACATCATCGGAAACAGGTAATGATATTTCTTCTCCCAAAATGGATTCGTCAATGGATTCAACTAATTCACCTTCATGCGCTTCATCAAATAAGGCGATCAATTCTTCCTTCGATTCTTCCGTCGATACTTCTGTTGATTCTTCCATCGAGTTTGTCGTCAAAATTTCATTCGTTCTTCTCTTTTTTTGCTCGCTGGCCGCTTCTTTCTGTTTCGACGCGTCCACTTCATTATCACTCTGTGATCTCTTTTTTTTATTGGTTTGTTTCCGTAACAGTTCTGATATTTTTTGAGACGAATATATATTTTTCTCGAGGCGCTGAACCCTCTCGGCAAGTTGGAGATCACAGTAACGCTCGTAAAAGTTATTATACCATTCCATACATCGTTCTAAGATACTCCCTCCTTCAAACGTTTTGAAATCAATTAATTGTTTACAAAAAAAAGTTATACTGGTCGGAACTTTTTTATGATTGCTTTTTGTCATAATTTCGAGTGAATCCTTCCAAGCATTAATAACATTAGTCCAGGTTGGGATTTCGGTTTCGGTTTCTAAACGATAGTTTAGATAATTTTTTAACCTCCAATTCTGGGCATATATGTTCTTGAAATAATCATGTACATTAAACTCATTGGGCGCCAAAAAATGCAAGTGAGTATTTGATCTTAGCGTCGCGGACATGTTTGAATTGATCGCCAATCATACGATAACTATAGTTATCGCCTGTAAACATTTTTGATTGGCTATTAAGCCCGTGATGAACTGCCGAACGGTCAAATTTTTATACAGTGGAGAGTGTAACTGTGCTGAAGTTTTTCGTGTCGGCCAGTCTTCGGCGGCGAGAACTTCCCTTGCATCTTTAGATACTTAGGAGAAGCTGTAGCTTCGTGTCGGCTAGTCTTCGGCGGTGGAGTTACGAGTTACTTGGTAGCTAACAACTGTTCGTGTCGGCCAGTCTTCGGCGGTGGACAGTTGATTCATTGATTTTGCTGAAGTTTTTCGTGTCGGCCAGTCTTCGGCGGCGAGAACTTCCCTTGTATCTTTAGATACTTAGGAGAAGCCGTAGCTTCGTGTTGGCCAGTCTTCGGCGGTGAAGTTACGAATCAATGAATATCCGAGTTATTTCTCGGTAGTTGCTAGCTTCAGCTGTAGCATTATTTCATTAGAATATTCTATAACTTGCAAGATTGATAAGCGAAGTCAGAAAATACTGTACAGGCAGGAGCGAAAGTTACGGGTACGTTACGAATTACTCTAATAGACTTAGTAGGATGAGTAGTGATTCATGTTTCTCATTCGTATCAATAGGCAACTTTTTGCGTTTGGCAATATCCTCGCTCATAACTGGAATTATCAACCGCTTAATTTTACATCTAATAGTGGCAACATCTGTAACCGATTTTTTCCAACGAATCAATTTTCATAGGATTATCTAATCTCAAGTATTTCTGTGCCGTGCGACGACGCTGGTTCTCTATAGCTAGTAAAATTTGGTTGTCGGTGGATACAGGTGAGGCGGAAGATCTTTCGTAATCAAACTAATATAAAGAGCCATCAATCAGCTTTAATTCACAGTCAATCGCCCCACCTTATGGAACGTGTTAGACAAACATTTGCCTATAAGTTGATACCAATTAATCCGATTGCGGCGGTTCAACGGGGGTGCAACTTTATACGGTAAGTTTCCTTCCGATTCCTTTAACGTACTTGGGTTTTTGAGTGGAAGTTAAACGCAAAAGCATCCTGCATCGTAGCGTTAGGTGAGTTTTCAGTATCTATTGGGATAATTGTTACTTGATGCGGAGATAAAACTTCTCAAGCATTTCCAATACGATTCGCCGGAGAGTAAGAATTGACTTAGCAAGGGCTTTTCCCGGAATAGGGATGTTTAATTTTTTCATTTGCGAGTTTTGGTTTTCTTCCCAGAAGATGGTTTATTAGGGCTTCCCTTTCGTTTTAGTTTTTTTTATAGATTTGAATCTATTTGATCAGCTTCAGATGGAGAATCAGAGTCGGAGCTAGAACCAAATGAAGAGCCAGAACACGTTTAATATCAATATAGGATATGTCTGTCTATATAAAAATATAACTATTTATATTAGAAGCATTCTAAAAAAAGAACAAAATTTGAAAATTGTCGCCTTACGTTTTTAAAATTAATGATACCAAACTCTCCAGGAATACCTAAATTTACCAAGAAGAATGTCAGCAGTTTTCTTCGCGAGGCGGCTGCGCGATAATAGGGCTCTGTAGTGTCGATGAAGCTACCGACTTGGCCAACTTTATTTTCTAAGATCGCACGTAACCACTGATTATCTTTAGAAAATAATTCTTCCTTTTACGTTGACTGCTATCGTTCATAATCCGCGTTTCGTAGTACACTTGCGATGGGTTCACGTCTCGAACATGTTTTCGGCAATAGATATATT